AGGCTGTAAATCTTTACAGAAGCAGAGCCACATCTTCCTCCCTTGAAACAGCTGGTGGGTTTGAACCACTGACCTTTTGGTTACAGCCCATCACTTAATCACTGCACCACTCATGCTCCTTGCCTGGTTACTAGAAAGTTTCCATTTACAGAAACATCAGCACCGCCTAATGGTGAAGAATTGTTAGAAAGAAAGCAGCACACCATGGCAGTTTCCCTTTCTTAAATTATTTTCCTGTATTAGTCACTGTAGCACCAAGTCCCTGAGCATGCACCTTCCCTTGCCCCTCCTGGGTCTTCTTCTGGAAAATAGTCCTGACTGTTGGAACTTCCTCGAATTCATTATTTATTTCTCTCCTTTCTTCTTGACAGTGTGGAGTAACTTTATTCACCCCACAATCTCAAATACACGGAAATTCCATAGTCTCGCAACTAAAACTTATCAATATATTTGTCATACAGATATTATAGCAATAGTATGTGCTGTATTGAGACTTTACCTGTGTTCAGAACTGGTATAGAACCCTTTGTCTCTAGTCCAGAAGAAACCCATTAAGACATCAATAAATTGAACATAAAAGTCACTATGCTTGAAATGTTTTAACTTCCTGTTACTATCAAATTGTTAAATATACAATAAAATATTTAAGCTATTAGTATAGGATTTCAGAGAAATACAAAATTTGGGGTCAATTTTACTATCAAGTGAAGTAGTAAATAACACTACTATTAATTTAGAAAGTATATTGGACAAATAGAAGGGAGCTCAAAAGGTCAGAATGTCTTTCCACAGGAAATAAAATAGAAGTTAAAAATAAAGTGATCCATGTAAGAATGATTGATTTATGAAAAAGGAATCTAAAAAAGACTTCTTGGTTCCCAGGATTCTGTACTTTGTAATTATGTGAGTGTTGTTGGTACTTGATCTATTAAAGAGAAATTAAAAGGAGACTCAAATGTTAATATTGACCTTTTCTCTAAACAATTTGAAACATACTTTTTGTGCCTGGAGGTAGCAATTGAAAATAAAACCATGTGGTGCCGTCTTTTCCTAGATGACTAGTGGCCAGCATGCTGTGGGGACGTCCTTGGGTACCCAGTGGTGGCAGAGCAGGGGCTGAAACCAGACCTCTGAGTCCCAGCACTGTGCTTGCTTCCCTCAGCCAGGTTTCTTCCTTCTTCGGACTTTGGCATCATTCATTCATCATGCTAAGAAGTATGCTTTTCCCCTCTGCTTTTCCATTGGCCTTTCAGTTTGCTTCCATAGAGAGACATGGTTCAGAGGGTCTTAATTTCAGCATGCCTTTCTCAGTCTCCTATGCTCCTCTCCTCATTCCAACCTCATTTGTCCCCCTCTTTTCCCTCTGGACCCTACTTAGAGGGTTACTTTTCACTCTTCTCTGAAGTCAGGAGGAAGGAGTCTGTGATGTCCATTTGACCCGAGGATCCACTCTGTGTGACTATGACTGAGTATCTACTCTGTGCAGTGTGAGTGTCTGCTCTGTGCCAGTGTGACCGACTGTCGACTCGGTGACAGCATGAGTGCCCACTCTTTGCCAGTATGACCAAGTGTCCACTCTGTGCCAGTGTGAATGAGTGTCAGCTCTGTGCTGGTGTGACCAAGTATCTGTCCTGTGCTAGTGTGACTGCGTGTCCACTCTGTGCCAGTGTAACTGAGAGTCAAATCTGTGCCAGTGTGACTGTGTGTCCACTCTCTTCCAGAGTGAGTGAGTGTTCGCTCTGTGCCAGTGTGACTAAGTGTCTGTTCTGTGCTAGACTGTGTGACTGCGTGTCCACTCTGTGCCAGTGTGACTGAGTAGCTGCTCTGTGCGAGTATGACTAAATGTCCACTCTGGGGAATATGAGTGAGTGTCCACTCTGTGCCAGTGTAACCAAATGTCTTCTCTGTGCCACTGTGACCTAGGGTCCACACTGTGCCAGTGTGACTGACTGTCCACTATGTGCCACACACTGCACTAGCTCCTGATACAAGAATAAATTCACTAAATCCATATACAGGATGAGTCAGAACTAACTCGAAGACAACAAATTTGGTTTTTGTTTTGTTTTACATACTAGGTACTCTGTCTACTAATGCAATGCTACCTCAGCAAGAAAAACAGACCAGTTTCTTTCATTATGGTGCTAAAAGCTTAGTAGGGGAAGAGCTTTAGTAAAATAATTATAAAACTATGCTGTTTTAGCTCTGTTGACATGCTTCTGCTGTAGTGAATGAGTGTTATTTAACTTTATGCTCTGTGTCTAATCCTCATTGTTGTACTACATAGTATTCAGGCACTTGTGTTTTAAAGATGTATAAGGAAACACCCCATTTATTTTAGTCTAAAAAGCTTTCTCATATACCGATTTATCCCCAATCTCAACAATATTCTAAAATCTGTATCAGTGGCTAATATAATGATACTGTAGAGCCCTGATGGTGTAATGGTTATTCATTGAGGGCAATCTGCATGATCAGCAGTTCAAAACCACCAGCAGCTCTGTGGGAAAAGGACTTGACTTTCTACTTCTGTAAACTAAACAGTTCTCAGAAACCCACAGGGGGGTGCTGTGAGTCAGTATTGACTCTATGGCAGTGAGCTTGGTTTGGGGGAGTTATTAGAATTACTAAAGAACCCATAGAGGTTGCTTATAATATACCTAAAATAAACTGATAATGCTGTCACTTACATTGAACAAGAATCTTTACACATCTTAGGTATATGAATGGATTTCGAGCTCACATTAATTGCAAACCTTAAACTAAGAGTGATAAGCTTAATAGCCACCCTCGTGATGGAATCACTGATGATAAGGGAACTATTGCGAAGTATGGTGAAAAATCAGATGGTGCCTGGTTATCAGAGTGAATAGAATATAGGGTCTTAAAGCTTATATTAAAACAAGCATTCATCTAAGAAAAATTTTAGCTAACCCCACACAGAAGAAGCACATCAGCCTATGTGCTCCAAGAAGTGTAAATAATAAAATGAAAGATCAGAATAGGGAACTGTGTTAGAACTAAAATTCTGAGGAACTGGTTTGCAGAGGCTATGGATGACAGTCCACCACTTGTCATATTGTGGTGGCTTGCTTGTTGCTGTGATGCTTGACCCTATGTCACTAGTATTTCAAATGCCAGCAGGGCCCTCCAAAGTGAATAGGTTTCAGCAGAGCTTCCAGATGAAGAATAGAATACAAAGAAGGAGTAGGCTGTCCATGTCCTACTACATAGCCACTGAAAACCTTCTGGATACAATAGTAACACTGTCAGATACTGAAAACCTCATGAAAAGAAACAAGATATGGTCGGCGATAGAGCCAGAAGGTGAGCCCCATGGGTTTCAAGGCACTCAAAATTACTGAGAAAAAGCTGCCTTCTCAAAGTACAGTTTTCCATAATGATATGTATGAGGAAAGCCTGTGGAAGTAAAACCTTTGAGAACTTTATTTCCTGATTGGGCAAAACTACCAATGAGAACAAACAGTTGCAAGCATTAATAAACTTTGACTCTCTGAAGTATGAATCTAGAAAAATTGGAAGATGTGAAAAAATGAAATGGAATGCATAAAAAAACATGTTTAAAGGAAGGTGTTTTATTGACTACTCTAAGGCATTTGACTAGGTGGACTATAATAAACTATGGATGGGAAGAATAGGAATTGGCAGTGGTGAAAACAGAATAAAGAATAGAACATGGTTTAAAATCAAGAAAGGTGTGTACTAGGGTTGTATCCACTAACCATATTTCTTCAATCTGTATGCTGAGGAAATAATAAAAAATCTAGTTTAGATGAAGAAGAAGGCAGTATTGAGATTGGAAGAAAGCTTTTTATCAACCTGTGATATGCAAATGACACAGTCTTGCTTGCTGAAAGTAAGGACATGAAGCACTTGGTAATAAAGATCAAAGACAGCAGCCATCAGTATAGATTACATTCAATATAAAGACAACCCAAACCCTCACAACTGGACCAGTAGGTAGCATCATGGTAAATGGAGATAAGATTGAAGTCATCAAGGATTTTTGTCTTGCTTGAATCTACAATCAATGCTCACAGAAGACAAGAGCTCAAACAACATATTGCATTGGGTAAATCTGCTACACAAGATCTCTTTAAAGTGTTGAAAAGCTAGGAAGTTACTTTGAGATGTAAGGTACACCTTGACCCAAGTTATAGTGTTTTCAATTGTCTAATATTCATAGTAAATTGGAAATTGAATAAGGAAGATCAAGGAAGAATCAAGTCATTAAATGATTGTGCTGGCAAATAATATTGGATGTACCATGGACTGCCAAAAAAACAAACAGATCTGTCTTGGAAAAACAACAGCCAAATTTCTCCTTGGAGACTAGGATAGAGACTTTATCTCAAGTACTTTGGGCTTGTCAGGAAAGACCAGTCCCTGGAGAAGGACATCCAGTTTGATGAATTAGTGGGGTGTTAATAAGAGAAAGACTCTCAACAAGATGGACAGTGGCTACATTGATATACTTAAGCCTAACAACAATTGTACAGGTAGCACAGGACCAGCCAGCGCCTCATTCTGTTCTTACAGGGTTATGAACATGAGTGAGAACCAACATGACCGCACCTAAGACAACAACACGGGTGACAGTGCAAGTCCTAACTCCAGCAGAGACCTTATGGGGAATTTAAAAAAACACTAAATGTACTATCACAGACTATGGCAATGATCCATTTAACAAGAGAATAATCAGGTAGAAAAATGTTTGATACAGGGTCTGAAGATTAAGGAATAGCTATTTAGAGGGTCAAGAGAACATTACAGAAACTGTAGAGCCCTGAGGATAACTTTTGGGGAGAGGAAGTTGAAGATGAGAGTGAAAAGGCAAGCAAGGGGCTGATGGAGCAGAATTAAGTTCTTCAAGAAGAAAAGTCATTACAAGGCTGTATTCACAGGTGTGAGTTACTCAGAAGCAGGGGGATAAGAATGTAGTCCTAATCATCCCATTCCCCACACATGCACTACTGTACCTGATCCACAGGTACTTCCACTTTCACATCCTGGTCTTCTTTCACTTCTAGGGCCCCTTGGGTTTCTGCGTTAGCAGTCCGAGCTTTATACACATCACCTTCTGAGACATAATAAAAAGGTTAGTTCAACCCATTGAAAACAAAAGTAGACTGTGTATTTTCCGGCCTAAAAAAATCAAAGTTGCAATAAAGGCAAGCAAATGTTTGTTTGTTTTTTTAATCCAGAAAATCTTTTATTCAAAGCAAAAGAGAAAATAGAATGAGTGACAATCCTAAAATAACAATAGTTGATAATAATAATAGTTAACAATAGTTAATAATAATGAGCTATTATGTGCTCAGCATTCTACATGTATTAGACCATTCAATTCCCACCATTCCGTCGGGGTAGGTGCCATGTGTCTGTCATCTTGCAGATGAGGAAATGGAAGTACTGAGTGTATCATACAGAATTGACTTATTTCCTTCCAAACACTTCTTGAAATTGAGTGCTTAGAAGAATACTTGGTATTATAATCAAGACTATGTGAGGGTTAGCCATTTTTTATTATATTTATATGTGTGTGTGTGTGTGTGTATCATAAAGAGTTTTAAAAGTCTCAGAAACTCACAGGGGTAATTCTAACCTGCCCTATAGGATCACTATGAACCGGCGTTGACTCAATGGCAGTGAGTTGTGTTTTTTTTTTAAATAAGCATTTTATTAGGGGTTCATACAACTCATCACAATCTGTACATACGTCATTTGTGTCCAGCACATTAGTACATATTTTGACTTCATCATTCTTACAACACCCGCTTTCCACTTGAGCCCTTGGTGTCAGCTCATTTTTCCCCTCCTTTCCCCCTCCCCCCTTCCCCCAAAGCCCTGATAATTTATAAATTATTATTATTTTATCATACCTTATCCTCACCACATCTCCCTCACCCACTTCTCCGCTGTCCTTCCCCCAGGGAGGAGGCCATATGTAGACCTTGTCATCTGCTCCCCCTTTTGAACCCAGGACAGATGAACACCCCAGGACCAGTGGAGAGAGTGGTGATAGCGAGAGGGTGGAGGGAAAGTGAGGCAAGCAAAATTTTATATTCTTTTAGCTCCCTGTGCCGTCAAGCATGCAATCTGACCCTGTAATCACAGACACATACTCCACCCAAGGGGATGTCACTCTCTCCCCTTTAATGTTCTGTTGCCCTTTGTTTAAGCTTCCATGCGAGTACTCTAGTACTCTAGTGCCATAGAGTACTAAAGCCCTTGTGGTGCAATGGTTCACACCTACCTAGCAGCTGGGAGGGAGAAAAACCTGGCAATCTTCCCTCCTTTTGGGGCAGATCTCCTCTGTCATGTGAGATCTCTATGAAACAAAATAGTTACACGTTTAAATATTTTTACAGCATTTAAATTTTTTACAGTATTCACAATATTTTTACAGTAGAAAATTTACTTGGGAAAAATGCATTCTGAATGTGGTACAATTGATGAGGCTGAGTGCTCCGGTTCAGATTCACAGTCCCATCCCCTATAGCCACAGGCGAGGGACTCCAACAGCTTCACTATTGGACAGAGATTTTTGTAAACCAAACCGTGGTATAATATGATACTTGGACAGTTGACCACCCTCTTGACACAACCTGAATTTTCTCTAGGCTCAAATATTTCTTTCTTGTTCCATGACAGAAATTTCTTCTCTGGGTTTTAAAATAATGTTGGGAGTCTTTTCTTTCTTCCTCTTTATTTTTATCTCTATACTATTATTATTTTGTATTGCTTTCTGTTAGGTTTCCCAGTTTATGAAGTACAGAAGGAGTGGATGCACAGAAACAATAACTGATGCAATGGTTTATTGGGATGGGGGTTGCGGAGGGGGAGGGGAATGAGGGAGGAAACAATGAATGCGGTAGGGGAAGGGAGCATTAGAGCTGATTGTGATGATGTATGTACAACCCTTTTAAAAAGCAATTTAACTATGGAAGTGTATGATGTCTGAATATTATACCAAGAAAAATACTAAGAAAGAAAAATAGTAACATGGGTGAAGGAGGAAAATTGTTGCTTAGGAGGCATTGAGTTTATGTTACTGTAGTGGATAATTTGGAAAAGGATATAAATAATGGTTGTACAACATGAAGAGTATAATCAATGGCAATGCATTGTACATGTAGAAGTTATTGAATTGGAGAATTTTTTGTTGTTTATATTTTTGCCATAATTTAAAAATAATAATTACACAAATAACAGTGAGAATAATGAAGAAAATGTCCTCAAATTGATAGTGCAATGATTGTGGAACATTTCTTGATATGATTGAATTATTGAGTTGTATGATACGTGGATGAAGTGCTAACAAAACTGTTTTTAAAAACAAATATTTAGAGTCTCAGAAACCCTACGTGGTTGCTCTCATAATAGACTCATTGACAACGGGTTTGATTTTTGGTTACAGCAAAATGAAATTTCACATGACCTGCCCCAGAAGGTTCTACCAAAGTCTGTTGCTTTCCTTCTTTTGCATAGAAAACAGAATCTTGTGCTTCATTTGGTATGCCTTCCTGTTTACTAGGTTCTTTCCCTTTGGAATTCTCCTGCAGTATAAATAAAACATAAAAAGCATATCAGGAACTGAGCCTTATCCATTATTCTGTTTTATCAGAAGAGACACTAAGTTCTTTAAGCTAAACAGTGGATTGGAATTCAGATACTTCAAAATAAACCTGACCTCTAACACAATTTAAACTAATCCTTACATTTCCCTTCTATAATGTGTGTAAAATGACAGTAAGAATTATCTCCTCTCAACCAGACTTCAACCCGATGCTCCAAGATGTGAATGCAGCATGCAGGCATGAAGCAGGGAACCAATAGAGAGGTCTGAGGGGCCAGCCCCAATCCCAACTATGAGGACAGGCCCAGTCTCCCTGCAGAAGAATTCCCTTCAGAGGACAACACTGAAGCTACAGTTCAGGGAGAGGGACATGTCTGGTCATCGCACACAGGAGTAAATGATGGGAGAGGAAGAGAGAGTGGAACACATCCTGGCCCACCAAGCCCTGAGGATGATATTCTAGCTCAGAGCAGCCAAAGCAGAGAGGACCGTAGGGCCGGCCCTACCAGGAGATACGACATCCCTCACCCACCCATAGTACTACCAAGGACAACACTGGAGACAGTGCGGGAATTACTCCTGATCTGGCCCCACCACAGTGAGGCAAAACAGTAAGGGTGTGCAACAGAACAACAAGGGGAACAAAGCCCCAAAGTCCCCAGGGAATACCAAAAATAGACTTTGGGGTCAGGGCATGGCACCCATCAGACTCAACCAGAAAACACTCCTAAAGGTCAACAAACAGAAATTGAATTATTTACATGCTTTTCTTTCTTTCTTTTTTGTCATTTTGTTGTTGTTTTCTTTTATTGCTTTGTTTTGCAATGTCTTGTTTTTTGTGCATATTATTATCTCTGCAGGTCTATCTAGATAAGATAGGCGGGATAATCAATATGAAGAAAGCAACAGAACCGATGGTTCTGGGGGGAAAGGAAGTGGGTGTTAACAAACCCAGGGACGAGGGAACAACAAGTAATCCAAAATAAATGGCAAGGAGGGTATTGGAGACCTGGTAGGGCTTGATCAAGGGAAATGTAACTGAGAAGAATTACTGAAACCCAAATGAAGGATGAGCATGATATTGGGACAAGAGGAAAGTAAAAGGAAATAGAGGAAAGGACTAGGAGGCAAAGGGCATTTATGGAGGTATAAATACAGGTATGTGCATATGTACATATATTTATATAGAATGATTGGGAAATATATCTATGTACATATATGTATAGGTTTAGTATTAAGGTAGCAGATGGACATTGGGCTTCTACTCAAGTACTTTCTCAATGCAAGAACACTGTTCTAATAAACTGGCATTCCATGATGCTCACCTTCCGTACATGAACGCTGAAGACAAAGTGTGTGCATAAGCAAATGTGGTGAAGAAAGCAGATGGTGCCTGGCTATCAAAAGGTATAGCATCTGGGGTCTTACAGGCTTGCAGGTAAACAAGTGGTCATCTAACTGCAAAGCAACAAAAGCCACATAGAAAAAGCACACCAGACTCTGTGATCATGAGATGTCGATTGGATCAGGTATCAGGCATCAAAGACCAAAAAAATCATATCATTGTGAATGAGGGGGAGTGCCGAGTGGAGACCCAAAGCCCATCTGTAGGCAACTGGATATCCCCTTACAGAAGGGTCGCTGGGAGATGAGCCAGTCAGGGTGCAATATAGCACCAATGAAACATACTACTTTCCTCTAGCTATTTCATGTTTCCTCCCCACCACTATCATGATCCCAATTCTACCTTACATATCCGGCTAGACCAGAGGCTGTACACTGGTACAGATAAGAGCAGGACACACAGGAAATCCAGGACAGATAAAGCCCTTAGGACCAATAACAAGAGTAGCCATACCAGGAGGGGAAGGGGAAGGTGGGGGCGATAGGGGGAACTGATTACAATTATCTACATATAACCCCCTCCCTGGGGGATGGACAACAGAAAAGTGGGTGAAGGGAGACGTCGGACGGTGTAAGACATGGAAAAAAATAATAATTCATAAATTATCAAGGGTTCGTGAGGGAGGGAGGGTGGGAGAGGGATGGGAAAACTGAGGAGCTGATACCAAGGACTCAAGTAGAAAGAAAATATTTTGAGGATGATGAGGGCAACAAATGTACAAATGTGCTTGATACAATGGATGGATGGATGGATTGTGATAAGAGTTGTATGAGCCCCCAATAAAATTATTTAAAATTATTATTATTATTAACTCCTCTCCCCCTGCTAGGGGCAACCTGGAAGTACCATATCAGTAAAGGAAACTAATTATCATGTATAGTCGACTCTGAACTCCAGGAGATCCAACCAGTGTTAGAGGAGAACTGTGCCCCACAGGATTTTCAATGGCAATTTCATTAAAAGCATTTCCAGGTCTTTCCTCGGAGGTGCCCCTGGGCAGCCTGAAATTTCCATCCCTTCAGTTAACAGTCAAGTGTATTAACTGTATTACCACCCAGCAGCAGTTCTCAACCTGTGGATCATGACTCCTTTGGGGGGGTCGAATGATCCTTTCACAGGGGTCGCCCAATTCATAACAGTAGCAAAATTACAGTGATGACATAGCAACTAAAACAATTGTATGGTTGGGAGTCACCACAACATGAGGAACTAAATGAAAGAGTCAAGGCATTAGGAAGGTTGAGAACCACTGACCCAGAGGTTCCATCAAAGAAGAGAGGATCAATTCACTTCTTAATTTAGGTGGACATCTGATTACCTAATAAAATAATGAGATTACATTAAGGGGATGAACAAGTTACAGAAGGTTTGTCTGACTGTTCAGAGACACTTTTTAAAGCCTAATAAAAATCACTGCTTCAACAATTGCTAACCTATGCCTGATGAACCTGCTGAATAGAAGGAGCACCTCTGATAAAAAGAAAGATGTGGCAGGGTATATTTTTGCTGTTCAATAAAGGATAACTCCAATTTTTATTATAAACAAATTAGCTTATTGGGGGCTCTTACAACTCTAATTACAATCCATTTTAACATCAACTGTATCAAGAACATTTGTACATATGTTGCCTTCATTTTCAAAATATTTTCTCTCTCTTTGAGCCCTGGGTATCAGCTCCTCTTTTTTTCCCCCTCCCTCACCTTCCCACCCCTGATAAATTATGATTTTCATATGTCACACCACCTACTGTTGTGCTTTGTCTACATTATTGCTGTTCATCCTCCCAGGGAAAGGGTCATGTTGGAATTATATGGCATGGCGGTCAGTTCCCCATTTCTCCCCCTTCTCTCCCCACCTTCCCCCTACCCTCATAGCATCGCTACTCCCATTGCTGTTCCTGGGGCAGTTATCTGTCCTGGATACCATGTGCTGAGAGTTATTAACTGTACCAGCATGCATGCTCTGGTTCAGCCAGATTGGTAAGGTAGAACTGAGGTCACGATAGTGCGGAGAAAGAAGCGTTAAAGGACTAGAGGGATGTTGTGTGTTCCATTGGTGCTGTGCTGCACTCTGGCTGTCTTGTTTTCTCCTTGTGACCCTTCTGTGAGGGAATGTCCAATTGTCTAAAGATGGGCTTTGGACTCCACTCTTACCCCCATCATTTTCATTGATATATTTGTATGTTTGGGGCCTTCTGATGCCTAAAATCTTATCAGGGTAACTCCGATTTTTTAAGACATAGACAGTAATATAGCATAATTTGATCACAGTGTAAATTAAAATTCCTGTACAATTAAAATGTTAGTTATGTTGCATAAAGGGAGTTGTGGAAGGTGCTTTACCATTAGCTCAGTGTGGATGTGTGATGTGCACGTGGAATTCCTCCCTAAGAGATGCTTGTTCTGGAATAAACTTTTTTGTTTTAATGTGTGGCCAGAAGAAACAGAAGGATGACATTAAAACCAGTTTTGTTTTGTTTGTTTCTTTCCTATTCTTATCTAAGCATCTGAGGGGAAATTGGGGCATTTTTTAACAGTACATTGACATAATTCATGTACCATATAATTAAAGGATTTGAGTGCATTAAAAAATTGTGCAATCATGACCACAATCAAAACAACAATTTCTTCTTTGGCACTCATTATTTTTAGCTCCCTATTTTCCCCCAACCTCCCCTGCCATAACCCTAAGAAACTATTATTCTAGTTATAGTCCCTATAGATTTACCTATTCTGAATTTCATATAAAGAAAACCATACAAAGAAAAAAAATCTCAACAAAATAAAACACAAAAAACCCACAATCCAAAAGAGAACAGAAAAAAATTAAAATTTGGTATTTTATAAAAAAATAATTTGTTCTAAATTTAAAATGGGTCAAAAGGCAAAATGAATAAGATGTTATGATTAACTTAAGTAAATCTGCATTAATTCATTTTCTGATGCACTCCCTCTGAGACTCTTACATCCCTGGCCAATGGTCTGAGGGAATTCAGTGGATGCTTGATCCATGTGGGGACTCTGCATGTGGATTTTGGGCTTTCACTGAGATCCATAGCTTCTGCAAATTGGGTGCTTAGAATTTAAGCTCTAATACAATTCTTTCCTGTAATCTTAGGGTTTGTTGTAAATTCTGGGGTTTTTTTTGGTTTGGTGTTTTTAATGATATCTAAGAGCAACACTGGTCTGGCCTATTGTAAAGTCTTGCTTCCAATACTACTTGCTCGGAACTCCCCTGAGAAGGCTCACCATATTTCATCCTCTTTTACTTTCTCCATATTTTTCTCATATTGTTTAGCATAATCTTTGGAGTGTTTGCGATATTTAATGGTTAATTTTCAGTACTAGAATCTTAGAAGCTCTGCAAGGGTGGGGCTATATATTGATTTATTAACTCCCAGAGCCTCGTCTACAGCATTTTGTGAACCACAATTGTTGTTTATGTTACTGTTAGGTGCCACTGAGTTAATTTCTGAGTCTTAGAAACCTCATGTGACAGAGTAGACCTGCCCCATATGCTGTCTGTCTCATCTGTGATCTCTACAGTCACCAGGCTTTCTCCTGAAGAGCAGGAT